CAGAGTTTTTTTGTATTATGTATTAATTTTGGTTTATTTTATTTTTGTTTTAACTACAGGCTTTTAAGGGATGGCATTAATGCCATCAACCGATAGATGCTGCCATCTAGTCGAATTAAATTGTTATTATCGGTTACATAAAATTCTAAACTCTAAACTAGGTTTCGTTCCAAGGATTTAGGACTTGAAACAATGAAGCTCTATAGACAGTTGTAGCTTAGTTATTGATAGGTCAACATTTCCTAAGCCTATAGGCCCCCTCAGGAGGTGAGGCAAGGAGTGGATTGTTTCGCTTCCTCCTCGCCGGAATAGAAAGCCTTTGTTATCGGCGGCACCTTGACCGGAGCGTTACAGAATGGTCTAGTTGTCTTGTAATTAAACTAATTGTGCTCTGGAGTGGCCATATGGGTCAGCAATCTGGTGTAACAGATCCCCTTCCCTCCTTTATCGGATCTATCCCTCCCGACTGGATGTACAACTGGATCAACTTTATACAAAAAATACTGTATCAATAAAATATTGTAAATTAGTAAGTATGTTAAAATATTGTGAATCGGGAGAAATGGGCCGAATTCCAGGAGGTTGTTGCAGACATAAAAATTATAAAAATAACTTCATATGCAGTGGTACACCAAACCACTTATGTAAGGGTGTTCAAAACACGTTTGCTTGACAAAAGTTGCGAATATTTCTGGAATCAAATTGTATTTAAAATAAGTATTAGTGTAAAAGCTAGACCCGCATAGACACAGAACGGGCCTCCGCAGCAAGCCAGGCCATGGTCTACTCCAAGCATAATGATAGCCTACGGGACGGGCCAGCTTCGACTTCTCACGACCAAGGCTCCTTCCCTCCCTAAAGGTTATAAACTAAGTATCCAGAACCTTTCTTCTATCAGGGATATTCCCACCACCCGGGTCAGGGATTTTTTTATTCTTCCTTCATATGCTCCGCGGGATTTGGTAATTATACATTGTTCTTCAAGATATGAATTTAAGGCTTGTTATCAGTACGACTTAGGATTAACGGCTTAATAGCCATAAAAAAAAAACATCTTGTACTTCAACATACTAAGAAGTATACAAGATACTGATGAATTTTAAGATACAGGGATCATCTTTACTCGTGTTGGTAAAAAAAAAGTTTATAATGCCGGAACTCAAACCTAGTCCCAACCACTAGCGGATCCAGGACTTATTTTTTTTGGGGTGGGGGGAGGGGGTAGGGCTTCAGCCCTATAGGTTTATTTTTCACAGATATAATGATAATTACTTAGGGAAAAAGAAAAGAAACTAACTACCTATATGAAACAATATTACTTTAAGAGATAATTTTTTTAATATATTTTTCCATAAAACAAGGTAACATTTTACCATTTTAGGGGGAAATGGCTTTAGCCCGAAATCCTCCCTGTAGACCCGCCTGTGGGCCCAACAATTACCTACATATATGTAACCTTGTAGGTACTAACGATTGTTTAAATGATTATTATTGTTATATGATTATTGTAAAGGTTTGGGAACATTAGATTATTAATGCTGATATAAATTTAATTGTTCATTGATAAAGCTAGGCTATAAGCAGTGGCGTTCCTCGACCATTTCGAGCCCGGGTAGGATTTATTTTTGAGGACACATAATAAAAAAAATATATATTTTTTTTGTGTGGAATTCTCACAAGTGGGGCACAGGTAGTATTATCAATGAGATAAAAAACAAATAATAAAATAAATTAAAAAAAATTAAAATCCAAAACAGTTTTTTTTGTTTATCATGTTTATCTATTTATATAATCATCATATTTATTGTTTCTAATGTTGTTGTTATTTACCTGAAGTTTATTACCAAGTTGAATTAAATAAATTAGAAAAGAGAACCCTATCATTAAAAGGTTTTTTGTATAGTTAAAGAAATTCTTATTCAAATAAAAAAAAATCTTGTTACTTAGCATACTCTGTTTATATTTTAATGTCCTTACTGTTTATTATTTTAATAAGCTTATTCACATTGTTACTTCCACAATTCTCTTTCTTTTTGTATCTTGTCCGTTCAAAACCTGAAGAAGATCTGTAAAGTCGGGTCGAAACGTTGGCTTTTAATAAAATAGTTTTACCACTATTCAGTCTATTTACGACCGCCACTCCGGACCATCTCCTTCCTTTATAATGCAACGATCAACTATTAAGTTTAAAAAAAATAAATAAAAATAATCGTGCAGTTGGGCCCTCCTTATAAGTGAAGAATTGGGTGGAACCCTTCCTCTCCTAGGTACTCAACAGATGTTTAGTAACAATTCACCATAGAAATTAAAACTGTTGGAAAATGTCAAATCCAGTTCTGAAAAAATGTTCCAAGTGAAAATCAAATAGTATTTGCAAATAAACCAAAATACAAAGGACTAGAGATAGTTAATATTTTTTAAATATATTTTACTTGAATTTTTATATACTTTCATACCTGTAAAATTAATCATTTACTTAGGATTCAATTTGAATCTGATAAATTAAATGTTAAAGTTTCTGTTTTCATATTAGACGGAAGCATTTTAAATATTTCTGATTTACTTCCTTACTTTTGTTTTAATATTTTTTTTTTTTGTTAAATAATAATTTTAAACAATTTCTAGCTTTCCTTTATTTGGCTCGGTATTAGCCAGCTGTTGCCAGGGCTGGACCGAACCCCGTTAAAAGTAAAGGTGGACCCTATAGGAACCGGTCGGTTCGGGGTCAGCCAACCCACCGCCGTACCGCCGCTCCTTACATCCTCCATGTCCTCAACCAATATCTCGTCTTGGTCTTACATAACGCATCATAATGTCACTGTTATCGGTTTTGTTTAGATATAATCTTATGTTAGTATAACAGAATCAAAAAATCACATTAATAATGTAAGAAGAGTCGAGAAAAGTTAAGACCAGTAAAAGTAAGCAACGTCTCACATAATCCTCGCACAGATTAATAGATCGGTTATAAGTTAAGAAATTTTCGATTCAAACAATGATTCATCTTTATTACCTTATTATTGTTTTCATATTATAGTTATTGCCTATTTTTTTTTTATCCCCGAAGAAAATGTTTCGACGAATCATGCGGAAATGTTAACGTGTTTTAATATATTTTTTTAGAGGGAGAAGGAAGGAGGGATGCTGGTTTTATAAAAACTATACTATAATCGAAGTTATAAACTTAGCATGAATTTGTAATTTGTGTAATTTGAAGGAAATAAGAAAAATTGTATATTCTTAATATTATTGTTTCGACGAATCATGGAGATATGCTCCCGTGTTCTAATCTATTTTTTTTTTAGAGAGAGAAGGAAGGAGAGATGCTAGTTTTATGAAAACTATATTATAACCTAAGTTATAAACTTAGCTGTTTTATCTAATTTGAAGAAAATAAGAAAAATGGTATATTCTTAATATTATTGTGTCCACGAATCATGGAGTTATGCTCCCCTGTTCTAATCTATTTTTTCTAGAGAGAGAAGGAAGGAGAGATGCTAGTTTTATGAAAACTATATTATAACCTAAGTTATAAGCTTAGCTGTTTTATCTAATTTGAAGAAAATAAGAAAAATGGTATATTCTTAATATTATTGTGTCCACGAATCATGGAGTTATGCTCCCCTGTTCTAATCTATTTTTTCTAGAGAGAGAAGGAAGGAGAGATGCTAGTTTTATGAAAACTATATTATAACCTAAGTTATAAACTTAGCTGTTTTATCTAATTTGAGGAAAATGAGAAAAATGTTATATTCTTAATATTATTGTGTCCACGAATCATGGAGTTATGCTCCCCTGTTCTAATCTATTTTTTCTAGAGAGAGAAGGAAGGAGAGATGCTAGTTTTATGAAAACTATATTATAACCTAAGTTATAAGCTTAGCTGTTTTATCTAATTTGAAGAAAATAAGAAAAATGGTATATTCTTAATATTATTGTGTCCACGAATCATGGAGTTATGCTCCCCTGTTCTAATCTATTTTTTCTAGAGAGAGAAGGAAGGAGAGATGCTAGTTTTATGAAAACTATATTATAACCTAAGTTATAAACTTAGCTGTTTTATCTAATTTGAGGAAAATGAGAAAAATGTTATATTCTTAATATTATTGTGTCCACGAATCATGGAGTTATGCTCCCCTGTTCTAATCTATTTTTTCTAGAGAGAGAAGGAAGGAGAGATGCTAGTTTTATGAAAACTATATTATTACCTAAGTTATAGGCTTAGCTGTTTTATCTAATTTGAAGAAAATAAGAAAAATGGTATATTCTTAATATTATTGTGTCCACGAATCATGGAGTTATGCTCCCCTGTTCTAATCTATTTTTTCTAGAGAGAGAAGGAAGGAGAGATGCTAGTTTTATGAAAACTATATTATAACCTAAGTTATAAGCTTAGCTGTTTTATCTAATTTGAAGAAAATAAGAAAAATGGTATATTCTTAATATTATTGTGTCCACGAATCATGGAGTTATGCTCCCCTGTTCTAATCTATTTTTTCTAGAGAGAGAAGGAAGGAGAGATGCTAGTTTTATGAAAACTATATTATAACCTAAGTTATAAACTTAGCTGTTTTATCTAATTTGAGGAAAATGAGAAAAATGTTATATTCTTAATATTATTGTTTCGACGAATCATGGAGAAATGCTCCCGTGTTCTAATATATCTTTTTTAGAGGGAGAATCTAGTTATATAAATACTATATTATAACCTAAGTTATAAACTTAGCTGTTTTGTCTAATTTGAAGGAAATAAGAAAAATGGTATATTCTTAAATTATTGTTTTTTGTGCAAAGTACTAATAAAAAAATTACGGACTATGTAGCAGGAGAGGTGTGGACTGCGATGGATGTATGTTATAGAGAGGCTTGATGGCTTCAGGTGTGGTGTTCACCGCTGGTGAAGTTTCTACGGATAAAGCCGAATGGAGCCAGCTGTTAATGGAGGCCAAGGTCCTACATGGGCTGAAGTATTGTTGTCCTAGGCCACAGTATCGATTGTGATGGCCAACAATAAGACACATCCAGCCTCTATGAAGACGGTACTTGAACCTTTGATGAGATCAGTATACCGTGAAGGACCTATCTCTATTGGTATCACGACTATCATTCCTAATAATATCACCAGGACAAGCAGGATTCACAAGAATAAGGATACTAGGCTAGGTCTTCATGGCAAGATACTATGTGGGAGATTAAAAACTAGATGGTTAGATAGAATCAACAAAAATGCTGCAGAACTACATGCTACAAACTGAAAAGCTATAGCCCAAGATAGGAAGTGGCGGTAAGGCTGATTAAGAAGGCCAAAGATCTACAAGGTCTGTAAACCCAACAGAAAAAAAACAAAAATTCCTAGGAAATCGAAGATTCCCCTTTTAGATATAGTCTGTCATAAATGTGCAGGACCCGACTCACATTATTCGAGGAGGCTCTAAGTTGGTAGTGATGCAATATGATTTAGATAATTGCAAATAGTCTTTGGTACAGACCCCTTTTTATCGAATTATTAACATCTGCCTGAAACTTCGTAAATAGTTTTATCTCATTGTAGCTTACAACTATTTTATTTACGAAAACTCTTGGAATTGGGGCGTTTTCAATATGGAGGGAAACAAACTTTGTCTATTTAATTCGGTATTAAAAACTTGTAAATACACCTTTGATTTCTACTTGGATCGTAAGATAATTTGAGCACAAACTCGAGAAAAAAGGTGGCTTTCAAAAATATTATGCCGTTTGGGGTGACGTACATACCCAAAATTACAAAATAATGAGGTTATATAGGACAAACGGCCCAATATTTTTGTAGGCCACCTTTTTTATCTATTTTGTGATCAAATCATCTCACGATCCAAATAGAAAGTGTATTTACGAGTTTTTAGTATCTAATTAAATAGACAAAGTTTGCTCCCTCTCCATATTGAAAACGCCCCAATTCCAAGAGTTTTCTTAAATAAAATAGTTGTTAGTTACAATGAGATGAAACTGTTTACGAAGTTTTAGGTGGATGTTAATAATTCCATAAAAAGGGGTATGTATCACGGACTAAAAAGGACTGCTATAAATATCAAACATTTTAAGTACGCTATAGTGCCTCCTTATTTGTTAAAATACTGTTACCATCGTGAACACATATATGTTTATGTAAAATTTATTGTAAATATGACAATATCAGGAAAGGGATAAATTTAAAATACATTATATTTGAACAAAGTAATTTCCTTCAAAAAACATTCCAATAATTTAAAATCCTTCGATATCAAGGAATCGCTTGTTATTCTATCTTATACATGCCAGTCAATTTCTTAACACTCTTTAGAATGATGAAGTCAATTTTCTGTTTAGTTTGCTTATTTCTTTACCATTTTTTAAAATGTATTTTATAAAAGATTTATGTAAATAGATAATGCAGCAGCACGAACTTATTTGTTAATTCTCAAACAACTATACAATACATACAACACTCTTTTACTAAAAGAACTCTAACAGTTTCGTTGCTGTTTTATTAACATAGAGATAAGTTCAGAGAGGGTTCGTTTTTGTTTGCGCTTCTCGGGTGAATGCCTCCACACACACGAGTTCACTCACAGGAAAATGCATTCCGAGAAGACTTAAAAACTGATAGAAGATTTATTTCATGATTAAAAATTCAACTGCAGTAGAGAGAAAGGTACAATAAAATTTCAATGATGCTCAACTGTGAATTCCTAAATGAAATATCATACTGATAAGTTGTATCGATAGTGAAAACAACACAAAAATGATTGTTATATGGATTCGTTATTCTAGATAACCCATGTTATGATTTTATTGTTCTTCTCTTCTCTGCTCTCAATTTTCCTCCATTTTCTATCTGTGTATAGAATCAGCAGTGCACTGCCTAGAATTAATATAAGTGATGATGTAGGATTCCATGCGAATTCAAAATAATGGATTCCACCAGACTCAGCAGCTGATTTCTTTTCATCCATAACTCTTCCAAAAAATTACCGATTGAAAGAGGAATCGTTTTCTCTCGAACCGAGAACTCTCTGCTGGCAATTTTTAAAGATTCCCTCCTTCTTTAATGAAATGAAATGAAATAAAAAAAAAAAAAATTTATTGTGGGACTGAAGTCGTCTAAGAATAATAATAACATGATACAAAACATTTAGTCTGGTTTGACAGAATACTAAGAGCTCATTTGAATATTAATTTCAATTGTTATAGCAATCATACCTGAATAACAATAGTAAACACTTTAATACTAGTACATTTTATATGGTTTACATTTATACAAAGAAAAAGTAAATGAATAAATGAAATAAAATTACATGAAACTTGTCGATTAATTGTTAGTGAGAAGTTTTAATTACAGAAATCAATAATATTACATAGATACGGTAGTTTGAAAATGAAGTAGGTGGTGGAATAAGAGTTGTTTGAAGGAATTTAAGGTTGAGGATTGCCGTATGGTGATGGCTAAAGAAGTCCAGAAGAAGGTAGCACGAATGACGAAGGATTTGCTGAAGGATGTAGTTTTATGAGAAGATATATCTAAATAAATAGGTTAGATCTGGTATTAATAGAGTGAATAGAGGAACGTAGAGTGAGGAGTTCCATGATATAGGGAGGATTTTTGGTTCTTAGGACTTGGAAGAGGAAACTCCAAGAAGGTATCGTCGTCGGGAAGTAGTATAAAGTCACTTTAACTCGGTGTACCAGTTGGAAACATGAGAGCGCCTGGGAATTCCGAAGATGAATCTTAAAAACAAACTTTTATTGTGAACAAAATCAAACAAAAAAAAAAACAAATCTTTGTGTATTTATATCTCTAGAAATTTCTTTTTAATTTATTCTTTCACCTATTTCTGTAATAGAAACCTTTATATCAGATTTTTTTTGACGAGAGTAAGTTTACGTTTAGGCGATTTGGTCAAGGGAAAGGAGATGACTTCCCCTAACCTGCGGATGATCACCAGAGCTGGCCAGAGAGCCATCAGCTGTCAACGGGCCGTGAAGATTGGTCCAGATATCGACTGCTGGATCCAGGGCGACCCACAACTGGGTTAGTCTGCTTCTTGAAGGGCGCTGTCGTCGGCTGTCAGCCAGGATAGGGGATCTTATCAAGCGAATTCTAGGTGGATATCGAATCATATCGTCGATAATTAGCTAAAGCGGTGTCTTTCATTGTCAGGATATCTGTCAGGTATACAAATCAATAAACCTGATACTTAGCGTATGTATAAGCAGATAATATTTGAAGAGGATTTGTTGGATGAATATTTTCATAAATATTTTATTTATTTAATGATTGAGCCTTAAAGGAATCAGTATAATTTACACTAACTATAACATTAAATTCTATTTTTATTTGCTGCTTGATTAAGAATCGAAAAAAAAATTGGTTCGATTATCGATTGGTTTGGATATACAGCTATCTATTCGTATATGACGATTACTTGAAAAAAAAAATCGTTTTTCAGACATATTGTTGTATGTGTTTGTTTGTTTGTTTCGATGTCTAGGCGCAAAACATCCAGGTCATAAGCGCCCGATCAACTAAATAACATCATTTAATACTATTTGGATGATTGGTACAAAAAAATAAAATAAAGTAAAATAAAATAGATAAAAAAATACATAAATAAATAAAATAAAATAAAATAAATAAAGAAATGGATTGATAGAATAAAATAAATAAATAAGGATAATAATAGACATTTATAGGTAATAAGATGTATAAAAAATGTATAAAAAAATAAACTTTAAAAAATAGCAGTAGAATCAATAAAATAAATAAATAAATAAAAAAATAAATAAAATTAAATAAATAAATTAAAAAAAAATAATAAAAATAAATAAATAAATAAAAGCCTGTCAAATGTGTTTTTTAAGTCTTTCACTATCCATAAACTTGATGACTTTGGTAACCATTTCTTCTTGATTTCCCAGGGATGCTGATATATTCTGGGGTATTCCAAAATCTTTTAATCTTGCGGTGTAAAAAGGGCATTCTTCCAAAATATGTTTTACAGTTAGTGATTGGTTACACTTTTGACATCGGGGGATAGAATCTTTTGTTATGAGGTGGAGGTGAGTCAGTCTAGTATGTCCGATCCTCAGCCGCGTGAGGACGACCTCTTCTCTACGACTGCTGCGTCTGGAGCTGGTCCACGGTTGCACCTCTTTCTTTATTGTTTTTAATTTGCTAGGTGCGCTGATGTCCCACCGTCTTTGCCATTCTTGGAATATGGTTTCTCTCAGAGGTCGTGCAAGTTCAGATGGTGTCAAAAAAACTTTACCGCGGCCTGGAAGAGTAAGAGCTTCCTTTGCTGCTCTATCAGCCATTTCATTTCCTTTAATTCCTATATGGCCAGGCGACCAGATAAAATGTGCCGTTGTTCCAACTCCATGAAGCATTTTTATAAGACTTAGAATGCAGTGTATCCCTGGATGGTCTGGATACATGTTATTCATAGCTTTCAGGGTACTTAGGGAATCCGATACAACAACCACATTTGCAACTGGCTTCTTCATGACGTATCGGAGACTCATTGCTACGGCGTTAATCTCTGCTGTGTAAACACTACAAAGATGGTGTAATTTATATTTGTAGGTAGTATCAGGAGTGACAAAGGCTGAAGCAGTAGATGTATCTGATTTGGATCCGTCGGTGAATATTAGAAGATGTTCAGGTAACGTGATGATTATTTTTTGGAATTTTTCTTTGTAATCTGCAGGTAATGTAGTATCTTTGGTGAATTGGGTGAGTTGGAGATTTAATTTAGGTTGTATATAGGTCCAAGGGGCTGTTTCTTTTTCTATTTCATGTAATGTTATTTGTTTTAGTTTATTTATAATAAGAGACATTCTTTCTGCCAATGGTAATGTGGTATTCCTTTTTTCTTTAAATCTTTTTGAGAATTTAGATTGAAAAACATATTTATGGGAGGGGTGTGAAGTTTGCGGGTATAATTTAGTAATATAGTTTATTGCAAGTTTCTGTCTTCTAAAGTGCAGTGGTATAAGGCCAGATTCGACACAAATGCTCAGGGTTGGGCTTGTTCTAAAGGCTCCAGTTGCAAGGCGTATTCCAGTGTGGTGCACGGAGTCGAGCTTGGCTAGAGCATTTTTTCGGGCAGAACCGTAGACAAAACTACCATAATCTATTTTTGCGCCGATCAGAGCTTGGTATACTTTAATCATGGTAGTTCTGTCTGCTCCCCAGTTAGTTCCACTAAGTATTCTCAGAAGCTGAAGTTTTTTAGTACATGTATCTTTGAGTGATTTTATGTGGTGTTCCCAGGATAGACGTTTATCAAATAATAATCCCAAGAATCTGCAGGTGTTGACATATGGTAAGATGGCGTCACCTAAGAGAAGTTCTGGCGATTGTGGAGTATTTCGTTTTCTGCTATAGTGAATACATTTAGTTTTTTCAGAAGAGAAACAAAGTCCCGATGATTTCGACCAGCCATCAATACGATTCAGTGCTTCTTGGAGCTTATCTTTTACAGATAGGACATCTTTCGCTCTGTATAGAATAGCAAGATCGTCGACAAAGAGCATTACTTTGATTCCGCGTGGAAGATTTTTTCCCAAGTCACTAACCGCCAGTGCGAAAAGTGTTGTACTTAAAACGCATCCTTGTGGTACTCCACTCACTTGTCTACATTGCTTGGATAACAGTTTCCCTATACGGACGCGAAAGCGGCGACTAGAAAGGAATCCTTGAATAAATTTTGGTAAGTTACCTCTGAATCCTAGCGAGTGTATTTTGTTTAGGATAGCAAATTTGTCAGTTTTATCGAAGGCTTTTTTCATATCGAAGTAAACTGCAATAGCTTGCTCCTCTTGGATGAATGCATACTGTAATTCGGCTTCCATTTGAACCAGGTGGTCTACAGTTGATCTGCCTTTGCGAAAACCACATTGGAAGTTTTGGATGAGATGATATTTTTCTAGGATCCATGTGAGTCTCTTGTTTACCATTCGTTCCATTACTTTGCATAGACAGCTGGTTAAAAATATTGGTCGGTAGCTGGATGGATGACGTTTATCTTGACTACCCTTCAATATTGGGACAACTATAGAGTCGTTCCAGCTGCTAGGAAAGTTACCGCTAAGCCAAATATGATTGTAAAAATTTAAAAGCCAGTTCAGTGTATTTTTCGGAAGATGTTGTATCATGGAGTAGTGTACATTATCTGGTCCTGGTGAAGATCCTTTGACAGTTTGGAGTATTGATTGGAGTTCCCACATGCTGAATGGAATGTTGTAATCTTGATATGCATTTTCGTCAGAGGAGTTTAGATCTTGAGCCATATTATTTCTAGAAGCCGTTGTGTAAACTTCTGAGTAATATTCGGCAAATGTTCTTCCAACAATGTCTGGGTTATCGCATAGTTTTCCATCGCATATCAGAGTATATTTGTAGGAAGAATTGGTTCCTCTTATCTTCCTTATTTTGTTCCATACAACGTTGCAGGGGGTAGACGAGTTAATGGACTCAACAAATGATTTCCATGATTCTTTTTTCTTGTCATTTATAATTCTTCTGCAAACAGCTCTTTGTTTTTTATATTCAATGTGATTAACCTGATTCATATTTTTCTTAAATGTCTTAAATGCATTTCTCCGAAGTTGTATGGCTTTCTTGCAATCACTATCGAACCAGGAGACAGGTGTCCTTTTGTAATGGCCTTTGGTTTTAGGGATTGAGAACTCTGCTGCCGTAACTATTGTCTCAGTTATAGATTTACACCCATCATCTACATTCATACTGTTAGGGTGATTTTGAGGTGGGACAGCTAAAGACGTGAATAGTGACCAATCTGCTTTTTCTAATAGCCAACGAGGGACGCTGTAATTATTGCAGTTTGCACTTCTGAATTTTAGACGAATTGGGAAATGGTCACTTCCATAAGGCTCTGGTAGAACTGTCCATTCTATATTATCAATCAGTGAGTAAGTGCATAAAGAGAGATCAATGGATGAAAATGTACCAAAGCTAGAACTTACGTATGTTGCTTCGCCGGAGTTTAGTAACAGAGTATTCGTTAAATCTAAGAAAGTTTCTATAATGCGACCTCTAGGATTTGTGTCTTGTGAGCCCCATAATGGGTTGTGGCCATTGAAATCTCCAGTGTACAAAATTGGCTTTGTCAACTGCCTATGAATATGGAGAAGGTGTTCTGTCTCTATAGTATTGTCTTGGGGGAGATAAATGTTGCAAATTGTGAATGTTGTGTTTAAATGAACTGTAACAGCTATTACTTGAAGTGGGGAATCTATTTCTACTGGGTGGGAATAAACGGTATCTTTTACGGCTATGTATGTGTTGTATGTGTTGTATTTAAGTTGTTATTTTGATTAGTCTAGTTTCTTTTTTGTTTATATACATTTACTTTTAGTATTATTATTTTTCAGTTGATTTATATTTATTTACTGTATATAGAACTGTATATACTGTGTGAATGAGATACTCTATCATTGTTACTAGTGTCCTTGATTGTGACAGAATGCAATATTGCTGAATATAGAGGTATGTATAACAGAAAAAATAAATATGACAGTATTTATCCTCGTCATACTAATAACCTACTTATTCTCTTAGATTTAAATAAGCATAACATTAGGCTGGTTTTTAGAAATGTCATTTGTTTTATATAATAATAATTACTAAGTCATTTTCATCTTTTAGAATTATATTAAATCTATTGGCGTAACTGGAACATTTACGGCCTCAAGGCGTATTTGTTATTGTGCTCATTAAAAAACGTATGTTATATTTTTAAATTGAAACAAATAGCGTTCTCGTCTGATTACACAAAATTGAATCTAGTTTTTTGCTAAAAATTATCATTCAATTATAAAGAAAGGCTTCTGTTGGAGTCTGCAACAACTACTTATCAAAAAGTATTTCTAAAAAAGATGTATTTTAAAAAAAAAGTTCTTGTTTCTTGAAAAAAATTTTTTTTATAACAAAGATGCCAATAATTGAAAAATCCAATGAGGATCACTAACTAAAAAAAAAGAAATGATAAAAACAACTAAATTAAAAAAAAAAC